ATGAGCGTGGTGTCCTCAGATTGTTCATCCTTTATGTACGGTTTCCACGATACCGGTAGGTACCGTAGGTATCCATGATCATTGATGGCGCTTCTGGAATCTGGGCTTCGAAGTTCGGAGACAAGCTTGGCCGTAGATGAAGATCATACAGACAATCGATAGGCTGAACATCGAGACAAAAATCGACTCAAATCGGAAAAATCCAGAAGAGGTGCGCAGTCATTAGTGCGCACAAGGCCGCCGGAAAGGTGGCCGCCCGGGGCCTAAAAGTTTTGGAACTTCAAAGTTCAAAGTTCAAGCGACTCGAAGGCGGCCCCAGTGTACGTGGTGATACGGGATTACAAAATCAAAGGTACTCGAGGACTACCTAGTACCTAGGTAATTATCACCAATTATTCGCAACAAACAAAGTGATCTGAGGGACTAAAAGCTCAAGTCGCAAAGAAAGATTGTTAAGAATACTAGAGGCCCCAGGTGTTTGCCTCCCGGGACAAGCTTGCTTGCTGTCATGCTCTGTAAATTCCACACGAAGAGGTAGGTCTACTTTACATGCCTATGCCCAAGCCGCATGGTAAGGCAGTCCATATGCATTTACATCCACTCCACTGCTCTGCTGTTTCTAAAAGCAAAGATAGGGGCCACAAGAACCCGCAACAAGAAGTGTCAAAGGCTCGGCGCATCACGCCATTGAGATGTTTGCGACAGCTTTGGAAACATTTGCATATGTCAGCCAGCCATGGCAGAGAACTGGAACAGGCACATGATGCATCAAAGTGCCGTGCCAAAGCGCGCGAACATTTATGTGATTACTGAAAACGATACAACTGAACGGGCTATGGCTATATCCACTGGGTACATTCCCTGTACATGGGCTTGAGAGTCCTTTGAACATATTTTCACTGACGATATGTTGACATGAGCAAGGTACAACTTCCAGCTTGCCCCATCTTTGATGGTTCTTTACAATGCCTTGGGGCGAGATACATGAAGCAGCTTAGTGAGCAAGAACATTGCGAATGGTGACACAAAAAAGTCCGAATTGAGTGGGGCTCAGTAGTATGGCCGGTATCTTGTTGGTCTTCGATACCTTGGGACCCTCCTGCAAACAGGGCATCAGGCAGCAAAATTTAGAACTACAATACAAGGGGTCCTGGAATACAACTTCTTGAGAAGGAGCATGGAGGCAGCTCAAGTACACCATGGACTTACATAGGTCTTGTCTCTATATGTCCTGTTTACATGTTTGTTTGCAACTCCGACCAAGGGAACATGATAACAACCAGCCATGAAGTGCCGCACTTTCCAAACTCCATATGAGATTCAAGAAGAACTTGGATGCTGTCTTGCAATACATCAGACCTTTTCCGGGTTTCATTGAAGCTCGCTCTTACCCGTAGCCTCCATACGAAGGCCTTCTGGGCCGGTAGTGAAAATTGTAACCTCGCGGGCGTCCCCGATGCATCTTCAGGCCAGGAATGTTTGTCCTCTTCTCAGTAACCTGCAAGAACCCCCAGCCATTGCACTCTTGAGGAACATGAGAAACAACATTACATTTAACATCTGGCATCAGTATTTGGTTGACTTTAGCCTCAAAACTTAGTTCGCTGGACGCAAAAGGAGTCAAACGCCAAAATTGGATGACAACAGAAATACCACCAGACAAGAAGGCCTAGGCCCCCAAGGCAATTTCATCTCCTGACCAGTTACTCAATGCTTTGTCCGTTAAGTTCTGACATTCGGATCAAAATCAACAAAATGGATCCGCAAGTCCAAGAGTAGGCACCCCTTGAAAACAAAACTTGCACTTCTTTGTCGATTAGAGTCCTGCTCACCTTTATCTGTCGTCCATGCAGTTCAGACTCGTTATACTGGAGAGCTAGAGGGACAGACTCTGTGTCAACGAATTCCACATATGCGTACCTGCAAGAGCAACCTGACATTGTAAAGCAGGCCAGATCCATAGTGACCAAATGCACTGCTTCATTAGGCTGATATGCTCCGCAAGCCCTTGCACGAATCCAGTCCTGAGCGGGATGCATGTAGGTCATGATGCAATTACACGACTAGATAAAGCATCGAGGTGCTGTCACAGCTGACTATAAATCAGTAAGGGACAGCCGCAAGTCGCACTCAGAACACGAAGCTGTTGGGCCCAAAGGCCCAACAACAATTTACTCTGGGAACACATTGCTGTCCGAACACCCTTTCACTGTAAAGTGGATGCCAGACCTTCCCCCCCTTTGGTGGAAAAACAAAGGCTGTAAAGAAAAATGGACCCACCCTTTCGGCTGACCAAACGCATCGGCCAAAATAGTGACTCGATTGACAGTGCCGCACTCCTGAAAGTGTTGCTGTAATTCTTCGGGTGTGCAGGCATAGTCCACCTGCGGACGTGAACCATTGCATCATGACTGCAAGTTTGCGAGGGCAACCGGCCTTTGCTGTCCCAATTCTCAATCCCAAATTTCCAATGTCATGCCTTCGACAAAACTTTGTGCATCGACATCTCAGGCATAAGACAAGTCACCTTAGCTTGTTCAATCTAAGATGGTCCAGAAGGAGCATGGAAAGGGCAGTGGAGCTTACATTGCCAACGTAGATGGACCTAGCGTCTGCTTCTTCTTTATTTTGTTGACTGGCTGCATCCCCAACTGCACCTGAACGCCAAAAACACAGATGCCGACTCTTTCTCAGCAACAACCACCAGCCATTCTGGCCACGTACAAGCACCATTGGCTGAATTGCGGCATCCTACATTATCGCAAAGCCTGACGCATAGAGCTAACATATTCTCGGGACATTTGAGAGCTACTTAGAATTCTGACAGCTGGCAAATGGCATCAATCGAAAGCAGCCTAAAAGGCACATCAACCTACAAGGAGTGATTGCGGAAAACAAGCCAGCATTCAGCCATACCTTGAGAAGTACCACCCATCTCCTGGGCTGACTTGTCCTGCATTCTTTTGAGTGCGGCAGCCTCGGCTTCCATCTCCGCCAAACGCTTTTTCATAGCTTCGAGCTCCTGTGATTATGAAGTATCAACACAGACTTCAAGCTCCTGTCATCCAGAAGCAACAATTCAAAAAAGTTCGGATCAACACATCATGGCTTAGGTAGAACGCCACATTCAATAGAAGCAAGCACTGTCCTCCCTTGTCCTAGATCTACCACAACCGAAGGTTCCAATTCCCAGAAAGACAGCTTTCCAAATTGTGATTGTTATTAAAGTTACCGAGGCCCTCTGCCAATGACTGCTTACTGGGAGCCATCTTGAAATTGGCACTGTAGGAAAACCACCTTCGATCACCAAAAACTGGTAATGGTCCAGCATTCGCTATCAAAATATCAATGTAACAAACTGGCAATTCACATACAAGACCGTTGGAAATCTAGCATGCAACTTGTGATTCGAATTGTCATCAGGATCCTGAAGGGTAATATGTGCTGTTTTGACATGCTGGCTTTAAAATGGAATGTCCACCGTTTTTTGAAAACTAGAAAGGAATAGGCGCCAAAAGAGCATTGGGTTGCATGCCTTTGTCTGCTTTAGTCAATCATGTGAAAGCTTGCAGGGATGATCACAACAACCAGGTCGGGGTCAGTTTCAGACTTCAAAATGAAAGGTCTTGATCTACAATAATATCCGTCACTTTAGAACTTAGGTTTGTGCAATTCTGAAAGGATGCAAATCAAAGCTGCAGCATACATGTTTTATGACACAACTGACTGTGATTTGGCATTCCTCTTGGCTCATACTCTTAGCAAAGCTTCTCCTTCGCACGAATTGCAAGGAACTGACCTTCTCTGGATCTTCTCCTTCAGTCTTCGGAGCGCTCTCCTCCCCTTCTGTTCCGCCGTGCTCTTCCTGCTCTTCCTGCTCTGTGTGACCCCCCTGCTCCTCTCCATCGCCTTCCAACTCGCCTTCTGCTTCTTCTGGCAACTCCCCAGTATAAACCTCCTCTTCCTCCGCCATTCTTCTGCGACTGCGGCAATCACCTCTGCGACTAAGGCAATCAATCGGCTGTACTGTACACAGGAGCTGAGCTGCACCTTCAATGTGAATTCCTGTTCTCGTTCAACGATCCCGGCGCCCTCTTCTTCAATGCTTCATAAAACTTGCACTTCTGTCAAGTTCTGACGTAGAAAGTTGAAACCATCATGCAGAGGTGCCATCAAACTGGAAAAGTAACATACTGCCGTTCACAGGTTCAAAATTCCGTACTTATATATAACTAATAGCCTCGGTTTTGAATTCATAGCGTGGAATATATATGTAAGGCGCACAGTTTTGTTACTTGCGAAAGGAACACGTGGGCCGTGGCGCTGCACTACCTACATATTTCTTGCATTGGTTTGTGGCCTCGTATGTAAACCTTTCCTGCACTCAGATTGGGGGCGGGCCGACTTATGGACAGCTTGTGTCAAGACCAGCACCTGGAACTCAAAGACCGATGTCAGCTTCCGATCGTGACCAGCTGGATTCAAATGCAGCTGACCTTTCAATGGGGCGAGGTCCTGATGTGAGAGAGAGAGGGGAGCTAAGACACGAGCTAGGTTGTTCTGCGAAGATCCATCACGAGGTGCATTTGATTGATGAGAAGGGCATCTTAGTTTTGCTTGATGCAATGCATCTTAATTACTTAGTTGTGAGGACCTAGCATGGGGCTGATGCTCACAAAAGTTAGCAGCTTAGGTCTTTTGTTGCTCTTCCTGAATTTGATTAGCACCATTTGCAGCGCAACCGAAATAGCGAACCTTGAAGGGGAGGTGTGTAAGCACTCTGCTTTAGATCTGATGCACATATGTCAATCGTTTTCTTTCTGCAAACCAAGCTCATCAGAAGGGTCTGCCCTTCCCCATCATCTGCGTATTGTTGTTGCTGCCTGCTGATGGAAGGCAAGTCAATTGGTGTAAGCATGCAGAGCTTTTCGCACTATAGTAGCAGGTATGCGGCCATTTCTTTGCCAGTCTTCCTTCATGTCAGTGTCCAGTTCTTTGCTCACTAGGGTTTGGCGTCTTTTTCACCAGGGTGGACTCCAGACAAGCTCAACGTTTTTCAATTCAAGCCGCAATCATTTTAGCAAGAGCTATATGATGGAGGGGATGGTAGGCGAGAGTGGCGGCGTCCCGGATGCATTCGTCACCAGCCTGGCCATGATACTGGTGACGGAAGTGAGCAGATCATTGCATCAATGAGCTCAGCGATCGCCCCAAGTGGTGTTGATTGTAGCCCTGAATGCCCAAGTGATATTCTGATCAGCGACTTGTGCATCAGAAGAGAACCCATAACGCCCCAGGCTCTGCCTTTTAGTAGAAGCAAAGATCTGCTGGGCTCATGCTATCAATTTTGAGCTTCTAGATATGTGACAAAATGTTACAGTTCACCAAAACCTTGGGTGTTTTTGGTCAACAAGTGTGCCCCTTTGGTGACTCTTTCCACGCACTTCAAGGTTTGGCCTTACACACAACTGTCTGGTCCTGCGTCCTCTGCTGTTATTTTGCGCCCTCTGAGTGTTTGACCTCTGTCTTTGCATGGTTCCAGGTCGGGGACGAGACGTTCATCATTGCTGCCCTGCTGGCAATGCGGCACTCGCGGGCCATTGTGCTGGCAGGGGCCCTCAGCGCTCTTGTTGTGATGACTGTCCTGTCAACCGCTCTAGGATTTGTGTTGCCCAACGTCATCTCAAAGAAGCACACAAACAGGGCTGCGACAGGTACTTGTCTTGATCCCGCTGCTTGCAGCCTCTGTTGGTATTTGTTTGGCAGGTTGTCCCTTCCAGGTTTCATTTCTTCGCATCAGTTGCCATCCAAGAGAAAGCTTACAGAAGTCGGTCGACCATCTTCACTTGTACTGGTACCCTGTTGTTAACAACAACCACGGTAGGGCCCTAAATCCAGGAGTGGGAAGAAGATGGATCCAGCCCAGTCTGACGTACAACCTTCCTCACTGCAGTTTTGTATAGTTTCTTCGGTCTGCGTCTCCTGTACATAGCATGGAGAGCAAAGGGTGGAGCCGCTCCTGTGAATGAGGAAATCGAAGAAGTGAGTGTTGCCTACCTTTCAAAGTTGGACCACCTTTGCGGTCCCAGTTGGAGTTTGCCCTGCCCTGGTGTGTGTCGGAAGGTCTTTTTCGCTTTCAACTTTGAAGCATTCAAGAGAGGGCTCTGCAATACATAGCATTAGGCTTCAATAGATGGCAATCGACAGTCAGGCAGCTTGTCTGATAGTGGATATGTGTCAGGTTTCTTCTATAACAATTTGAAAGACTTGTAAGTCAAACAGGTTAGGATTCCCAGCAGCCAAACATGGACACAGCATCGCAACTCAAAGGAGCTGAGGTTTTGACCTTGAGGAGGCAGCTGTTTTTGGCTGGTATTTTGCAACAAAGCACCTTATCTCCTCCTCGCAGGTAGAAGATAAGCTGGGAACTGGTGTACAGAACAAGTCAGCTACCAGGCGGTTCTTTGCGAGATTGTTTACTCCAGTGTTTCTGGAGGTATGTTGCAAGTTCCCCTCAATCTTGAAGATATTCGAGCTGTCTTTTTATCCAATTCTGCACTCACGCTTTGCAGTTCGCCATGACAGTATTTCATAAAACTATCCATCACGTCCACATACTGAAGTAAGTTGTTCTGTTGTGCAGGCGTTCATTCTTACATTCTTGGCTGAGTGGGGTGATCGAAGTCAAATTGCAACCATTGCGGTGAGCATCTGATCGTTTGGCTCTGTCACCTCATCCCATGAGTGCTCCCGTTCCCATGGTTGCTGCCTGACAGACTGCTGGTACCTGCTTTGTACAATTAGCTCTGCCCTTGCAGAAGATATTCTCGACTTTGTACACGTCCTCTTGTTTATGTTTGTTGACAGTGTTCTCCCCAAGCGGCGATCAATTGTGCTGCTTGAATCTTACCGACCTCTTTTCTGACTGTTTCGACATTCCTCGCAGCTTGCTGCTCACAAGGATCCGGTGGGTGTGACGGTGGGCGCGATACTGGGGCACACATTGTGTACCTCTTTAGCGGTTGTGGGAGGCAGGTTGTTAGCTATGCGGATATCACAACGAACTGTAGCGGCCATTGGGGGCTTCCTTTTCCTTGGTTTTGCTGTCCACTCACACTTCTACCCACCTCTCAGCTAGGAGCTTTACTGACGTACGACCAACAGATGGTGAGCTTCAGCGATATTGTTAAATCGAAGGGTATTTGTGTAAACAGATTTCCTTTTTCAGTTTGAACCCGCCCATGAGAGACTTTGCCCGGCCAGCCTGTTTGCACTTTTGACGGTTCAAACCCGGACTACTACCAAGTCAAGTTCCCCGATATACGGGGACCTCAACCGAGTACCAATAAAACTTCTCAAGGTAAGCTACATCGCTCATGGAATGCAGCTGGCTGAAATCGTTCAGAAAGTCCATCACAGATTAATACCGATACCACACTTGGGAACATGGTGAACTCGTGCTAGTCTGACACGCGCATGCAACATGTAACACAAATTGTCGACAGCCAAATGGAAACACAAGTCGGGTCAGAGTGACTGCATCACGTGCATTGTCGATGTTCACACCACATGTTTGAGATCCTTTATTGGAGTGAACGCAATATATACAATGGTGACAAACGATCTTTACATTGAATGCTTTCACTTTTCAGTCCCCCGTCGCACGACAATGCATTAATAGCATGGGCATCTTATAACTTCAAATACCGGCCGCATGTATATATGTGCAATTGCAATGTCGCGAGGGCCCCCTATATATTGAGGCATCATGAATCCATAATCCAACAGTGCAATATATCATACATTTAGCTAATTGCAATTCATGGGCATTGCAGCAATACATCTAGCTTAGTGCTATTCCGAACACAATCATTCTAGATCAAAACATATGGCACATGTACGAGCAATACAATGAATCCTAATCACTCGATATTGTCATTCAAATTTTCCGACGGCACCCTGAACGTTGATGAATTAATTCTGAATAAAGTTTACATGTGCACACGCCACTAAGGAGGACCATACCGTGCATCGAACTTCGTGCACGAATGAGATCTATGCAGCCAAAGAGGGGATATTTGACCACCACCAAAGTAGGCTCGAGTGGAATGACTGAATATGCAATCATTCGTGATCTATGAGGAATGCTAGTGGCTGCTCTTCAAGATACCATCGGTTTTGCCCAATGAATCTTAAGCTACGTTTTCAATCTGTATGCAACTCCTAACATGCAATTGAGCAAAGAATGCGTGCAGACTGCAATGTTGTCCTAAACCTTGCCAAAGAATGACAGGTATGAAACTTACCCTATTTGTAATTGCTTCTTTACATGTTCGCTTTTGTTTGCTACTCAACACCTCCAAGCTTCCTCTGCTTGATCCCATACTTGCTCAGTCCCATGAAAAGGAACAGGCCTGCATGCCACGTACCTAGCCAGATCCACGAAGGGTCATTCGGGGGCGGCCTTGCGGGCCAGCTAAGGAGGTTTGGGCCGGCCGTCTTCAGGAACAAGGACAGCAAGCTTTCTCCATCAACAATCGGAATGCTTGAAATAGCCCCCCACCCTCCCATGGAAACTCCTTGCAAGAGCCAATTACCAACTTCATCTCGGAAGCCCGCCATCACACCGGTGTGTAGAACAGGACTCTTGTTAAGGCGTCGTTCCAACCCTCTGAAGAAGGAAAGGACAAAGGGTTGATCAACAAATCTGCTTTTTGAAGCGAGTCAATGTATCAATTACAACAAGTCAAACATGACTTTTTCACAAGGTCCAAGACTACATGAGCCTCGTCTGGGCTACTGTTATATGCACATCATCAGGGCATAGTGCCACAGCATCTGAACTCGTCACTTCAAACTGATCACAAATCTCAATTGTCATCCCGCTCAACAAGGCTTGCCAGGCAGAAACCAGAAATGCTGAGCAACTTCTAACTTCAACAAGGTAGTCAAACGCTGGATAGCCTGCTGTTCCAGCTTCTGCTATGCCAAACTTGATGAAAGAACAGAGACACTTACTTGACTGCCTCCACTCCAAGGAGCCACAACGCCGGCTTGAAAAGTGGGGTCGTGAAGTGGGTTAACGGGCCCTTGAGCAAGAGGGTGAACGAGTACGTCACCCGCGTCCTTCCAGGCCCGTCGCCAAAGAAAGTGAAGGTGTCAATAGATCTATGTGCGATGGACTGCGCCAGGTAGCTGACCCGCGCGACGGGGACGTCCCTTGGCCAATCAATGTACTGCCACTCTCTGGCTGGCTCATAGTCAATAACAGTGTACCTGGAAAGCCAGCGAGGCAGCAAAGCAGGTGAGAAGGGCATGAAAAAAGGGCATGAACAAAGTGCAAGAGAATTCTATGCATGAACACCCGTTCGTGGTGCAATAAATTACAAACTCTGTGGAAGGACTTTACCTAAAGCAGCAGAAATTTGGTAAGAAAGTAGACAAGCTCTCGACCAATGCACCTGAACACAAAAAAAACTGCTAGGGTATACAGGTCATTTCAATCATTGTAACATTGAGAAAAGATTTGCAACCACTTACTGTGTAACTGCATACTTCTTGATGGGCCCAATCTTGAAGCACGACTCCAAGCTGAAAGTGGTGCCAACATCAATGATAGGACTTGCTGTGTCTTTCCAGGACCTGCAAAACCAGAGGGCGTTGAGCAACTTGACAAAATAAAGCTGGGGGTACTTGCATGTTATCCAGCGTTATTTAAACTCAAAATGAATACAAGGTCCAATGTGGGCTACTAATGCTGCCAGACACAGCACTTATGCCATCTCCTTCACGGTGACGAAAACAGGTCAAGAGATGCAGGTCCTCAGTGGTGCAACCAAGGCTGTTCCAATTAGGGCTCGTGCTTGCCATCCTTTGCCAAAGCTGAACCCAGGATCATCTGATGGAACTGATAAGCACTGCTTGTCATGAATGGAGCATTCTTTGCGAAAACTCACACCTTTGGAAAGCACATGGACCTAAGAAAGGACCAATTCCGGCAGATGTTTCACGTCGAGCAATTCTCACTTGGGCAGGGCAGGGTCCCACTCTTCTGTGTGGCTCAGATCGGAAACATAATCAAAGACCTCCTGCACTGTCCCCTTGACCCGCGCGTTCCGCTTGAAGTTAACTGCAAAAGGGCTTTCCCAGAATGGCTTCTCTTCGCCTTCGATGCGGCCAGAGATGCCCGGTTCATCGTCCTTGGGAAGCTGAGTGGAGTTGCTCCTCCAAGGAACACCAACACCTTGCCTCACACTCCTGCACATTAGAGGCCTGATAGTAAGCTGGGATCAAACTATCAACCCTCATTTGGCTCAACGAGAGCACAAGTTGGTGCATACATGCAGGAGCATTAGGACGTACAGTAGGACAACGACCATGTAAACCTTTGACAAGGACTTGGTACAGAAAGATGGCTTCCCAACATCTTGATCCTGACCCCTGTGTAACACGCTGACAGGTCACCCACAGGCGTCATCTCTTCAAGTAGTACCAACAATGCAGCAGAGTAGCTGTACGCACCTGCTTGTGCGCCGAGCATTCGTCTTTGTGTCCCTAAAGATGGACGCAGTAACTGCAGCTTGCGCCCTCCCACTTTGCACAGACCGGACAGATCTGCTGTCCACAACCGCTGCCCCAAGGAAAGCTGAGGTCTGTCTCTGCACGCGCCCGTCCCATCTTCCGCTCAAAGTTGGCAGTGCCTCGCTGGAGTGCTGACGACTTGTTTTCACACTTACATGCTGCACTCCCATAGAAACAACACCAGCCCTCTGCGCCACTGCCAGAGAGTGAGCCATACCGTACTGCAGCCCCGTGTGCTTCTGGGATCCAAAAACTTGCAAGTACTTCCGCTGTGGTGCAAAACAGGGCAGAGCTTCTTGCCTTTCAAATCAAAAGCCCCCACACACGTAAAAAACTTCAGTACTTCAAGAACAATATCGTCTTATCACCAGAGGTCTGCTAACAAGGTCTTTAGAAACAAACCCAGTACAGCACGACCATTAACCATCAAAACCACAGATGAGGCCACCGGTCTCCTAAGCCTGCGCAAGGAACCCTTCCACAAACAAAGGCCCGCCCAGACGACTCCGCATGGACCCTGACAAGGGCAAGAAGACTTCAACAAATCTCTGACCCTCTGGCTGCTGGCTCTCAGTACGGTATCTCGGGTCACGACCTGCCCACCACACGTGACTGTACGCACCACAGCTCATGAAAATGTACAAGCTTTCTACGCCATTGCCGGGGCCCGCCCTTCTCTGAGAAGGTGTGAACGTCGTCGGCAACGTGGCGCTATCTCCGCCACAGTTTTCATCACCATCGAACTAGGAGGGGAACAAATCAGACAACAACCCAAGCAAACCGGAGCCCCGGCGGCGGCCGCCCGGGCAGGCCGCCCCGGCCCCGGGCCGC